CTGCGAGTATTCTCAGATCTGTACTTAGTGTATTTCTGTTGTGTGGATGTATAAGTACCCGTTCACGTCCACTCTGTGTTTTTGTTAGATGTATTTCTATTTGTATCCATCTGATGAGTTAAGCCTTTTCCAACTGATTTTTATAGTTTGTTCTTATGTTGTACTGTTACACTGTCCCAGGTTAGGGGGGGGGGGGGGTGGGGGGGGGGGGGGGGTTTGGCGCAAACAAACAAGTTCAACCCCGCCACATTCTGTATTTGTCTGTCCCAGTCAGGAGCCTGTAATTCAGTGGTTGCCGTTTGTTGCTGTGTAACATTTGTTTTTCGTTCATTATTTTGTACACAAATAAGGCCGTTAGTTTTCTCGTTAGATTTGTTTTACATTTGTCATTACGGGGCTTTTAATAGCTGACTATGCGGTATGGGCTTTGCTCATTGTTGAAGGTCTTACGGTGACCTATAGTTTTTGATTTCTGTGTCATTTGGTCTCTTGTGGAGAGTTTTCTCATTGGCAATCACATCACATCTTCTTATTGTCGAGCCTGCGACTTTTGTCGCAGAAAGCTCGACATAGGGATAGTGATCCGGCGGCGGCAGCGGCGGCGTTAGCTAACTTCTTACAAGCTTTATATTTTCCAAGGTGGAAGACCTGGCTGCTCCATACTTTGTATATAGATGCCTTATGTTATGAAGTTTCCGTCTGTCATATATTTAATGCATAGATTGATTGTAAGGTGTACATGTCTGTCTGGCATGGTTCATCTCGCCTTAATCTTATTTTCATGGTTCATTGGTCAATGTTTAGTTTTCCTGTTTAAGTCTGTTTCTTGGAAACTATAAGCAATAGGTCAACTATATTTGGTGTATTAAATGATTGTAAGGTGTACATGTATTTCCGGTTTGGTTTATCTGACCTTGACCTCATTTTCTTGGATCATGTTAAGTTTATGTGATACTTTTAGTAAAGCTTTAAATTTAGGACTATCAACATAAAATCAATGGTCAGTAAAGAAGGCGAGACATTTCAGCGTGTGCACTCTTGTTTTTATATTATGAGAGTTGTATGCTACAGTTAATAATATTCCCCCTAAAGGATGGAAATTGCCTCAACGTATTAAATAAAAGTTGTTTTTATTTTGGTTAAGAAAAAACAAAAATAAATAAGACATAAATACGATAACTGAATAAAATCTTTTTTTTTATGTTTCGTGAATTCCCGTTTGACGTAAAAGGGGAAATTATAAAAGTTTTGTAAGGTTGCAGTTATTTGATGTATATATCTAAATGATAGAACTTTTTCATGAGGGTCTGGATGGGGTTTAGAGAATAGAGGATAATGGGCCAAATCTACAGAAAAATAAATAGAGAAAAGTAGAGCAAAAATAAAAAATAAAGGAGTGCTTAAATATAAAGAATAGAGAATAATTGGCAAAGAAAATTGAGAATGGAAATAGGGAATGTGTCAAAGAGACAACAACCCAACAAAAGAGCAGAAAACAGCCCAAGGCCATCAATGGGTCTTCATCACAGCAAGAAAATCCCGCACCCGGAGTCGGGCTTCAGCTGGCCCCTAAACAAAAATGTGTACTAGTTCAGTGAAAATGGATGCCACACTAAACTCCGAAACATATTAATGAACTAAAATTTAAAAAAAAAACATACAAGACTAACAAAGATCAGAAGCTCCTGACTTGGGACAGGCGCAAAAATGCGGCGGGGTTAAACATGTTTTGTGAGATCTCAACCCTCCCCTATACCTCCAGCCAATGTAGAATAAACAAACACACAGCAATACGCACAGTAAACTCAGTTTAAAAGAAGTCCGAGTCTCAATTAAACTGATTGAAAGATTATGTCTTCATCATATGAAAATCATGCACAATTCCTCCCGTTAGGGGTTTAGTATCATACCATTATAAAATATGTGAGAAGAACATAACCCGTATCATGCCAACAACTGGTTTTAGAATAAATGTGATTATTTCCGATACAAAGACTCTATGAGTGAATCAATATTAATTCCAAAATATACCATCTTTAATGACCTGACAACAGTATCGTAACAATATCCCTTCTGAATAAGTCTAATTAAAGGTTTGGTTTGCTTTTGAGGAGAATGACGACATTTTTGTGCTTTGTATAGAATATTACCATAAAAGATTGAAAACATATAAGAAATAGAGAAAAAATACCTAAAAAATTAAAGAATACAGAATTGAAGGACCCCATCCAGACCCTCTCTCATTGGATAGTTGGTTATTTAGGGATATTGTTTTTAAAAGAAAAATGAGATCTTGTTGATTTATTAGCTTTATTTTTTCTATGAAAGAAAAACAGTAAACAAACAAATACTATAGTTACCGTGTGAAATAAGCAGTGTTTCTGGAATAACTACCGTCTAGTATGCTCGTAAGAACGTAGACCATTTGTAAGGTCTCGCGTAGACATGTTGTGAAGAAATACATTTTTCGGTAAAGTCTGTCGACCTTATTATTATTATTTATTAAAGAATGCTATTTCCTTATTTCCTTGACAACAAAAATAATGAATCAACATTTATCTCACTATCATTCATTCATCAGACAGACCACTTGACTGACACAAATTGCAATGAAACAATTTCAGGAAGTGAAAAAGATGAATAAACTCTAAAAAAAAAGAAAGAAAAATACAAGAATGTTCTAAATAAAACAGGCTGTGTGACATGCAACGCATGGTTAAATGTACCGGTACAAATTAACAAAGAGGAAATCCATATCGGTTTTTACACAAGAACCTTGTCATTTAAAACAGTTATTTAATGGACAAAGTCGTGATAAAGTAGCAACAGACAACTGACATCTATGAAGGAGTTGCATGTTACTAAAAAAAATTTACTTAATGGGTAAAACGTACTTTGGAAATGTTCATTGAAGAAAGACAAGAAATAAAAAAAAAAAAAAAATATTGACTTGCTTTTATTTACTTACTGATTTCGATTTGGTTTCAATGCAAGTATAATCGTCCTGTTCATGCTGTTACATTTGCCACTGGACGTAAGATAGTTTCAATATAAGTAATCGTCCTGTATATGTCTGTAATATTTGCCAGTGGACGTTAGAACGTTTCAATACAATTAATCGGCCTGTATATGATTGTAACATTTGCCACTGGACGTTAACCAGACGACAATTTAGCAAATTATGTAGTTGCAAAGGAGTAGGTTCGATGAGGTCATAATTTGACCTCTTTTGCCAGCTTAAATTTAAAGTTAGAACCGTTACAAAAGCTTGAAATAAATGAAGAGCAACATAGAAAAAGTAATGAAGATTAACTGCAGAATTTGGAGAATATTCAATAAAGACGACAGAGATTTGAGACTGCTATAAATACATGTATCTACGTGAGACAATAAACACATTGTATCTAGATAAACTTGAACAAAATACGCAACTGGAAATCCAAGCTGCGAAACACAATGCCACATCACAAATAGACAGACTCCTTACAAAAAATTTCCGAATATGGGAAAACAATTAAAGAACTACAGAACAATTTGTCCATGATCTTTTTTTGGCGGTAAAATGCCTAATGGGATTATAATTCTGCTTGAAAACTACATTACAAACTTGAGGAGTACTGATTATATTCATAACAGATTATATGGATAGATGGTACTTTCTATAAATCGATTATTATGATGCTGAACTAGATTTCAAGAAAGCCATCCTTACAAAGCATACTTTAATATTGTATTCTTTGCGCACTCTAGAACACAAAAAAAAAACCCCAACATTACTGCCCACAGAAACACTTGTTGTAAACATTTTATTTCGTGAAAAAATGCTGACTGGCTCTAGAAATATTTTGCATAGATTATATTATGATTGCTCTTTTAAATTTTATCGCTGACCTGAATTCCAAGAACTACAACCGATCATCGATTGACATTGGATAAAATTTGGAATAATTCTGTTATAAATCATTTTACATGTTGCATTAAGTTTATGCATATATGATGATAATTTAGAAATAAAGCCACTGTCTGTTGCATTAATTTCACAACAGAGTCGTTTTTTAAAACGTCAAACGTTTTTGATTCTTTCACTTGGAATAGTTTTGGATTGGAGATTCGTAAACAGCTAGATACACAAATGCTGTCAGCTACACATACCTGATAGAACTATTGTCATAAAATTAATGAAAATGAAAAAAAACACGAGAAACAAGTTGCGGCGGGAATAGTCAACTTGTGTGGTATTAAAAGCATTTGGGATATACTTCAGACACAGTATCCAAACAACAAAAAAATGATAAAATTATACAGTTGTATATTACCTTAGAAATTTTGAATTGATAACATTTTTGACATCTAAAGTCTCTGTTTCTTTTGATAGTTTAGTATTAAAAATGGACGATTCATTATATTGATACCGCATTAATTACCATTTAAATTTTAAGAAAGAACAGTACAGAACGTAACCAAACATTAGCGTGCAATAAATATCATTTTGCATAATGCAAACAAAGCTTTGAATTAGTGACGTCATCAGGGACAAAACTAGGTTTAATTGATTTTCATGCTTCGCTATGCAATAAACTGCAACCACCGACAAAAATAACCAAAATATAAAAGACATCTGGAGAGAAAAATACAGTCTACAACGATAGGCAGCTGTCTTTACAATATGACAAGCTACATAACAGTTTCAGAAACAATCAAAGATAATGCTACCAATACCAAATTATCAAAAGAAAAGAAAACAATTACGACTGCTACTGTTGAGGTTCCGGACTTGAGACAGGCCAAGTATACAATTCTACTATCAGGTGTCTATTTATAATTTTTGTGTTTTATTTAGTACTAAACTGTTTGTAATTGTCGAGTCTTTTTTCTTATTCGTGATTACTTTCTTTTTACAGCTGGAATATACTAGATGTAAAAAAAAAAGAAAGCAGTAGTAAATTTTAATAGATATGCTGCGTCTCTTTTTGTGGCAAGTATGCGTACGTCACGTACTTGTTACTTTATACATCCGGGTTTATTTATTGACCTTGTGAGAAAACATAAAATGTTTTGATAGTGATGTTTATATGATGACATCAACATTTTAAGGTAAAATCACTAATATTATTTTCCTATCTAAAAATTGATGATTAAACAACATACTTTTATTTTGGAAAAGCAGAATAAAACAAAAGTACTTTCGAATTCTATTAGTTACATAGTGTGCTAGTTACCTAATACGATATATATATATATATGAAATTTACTGACCCCATATATATCGTATTAGGTTACTAGCACACTATGTAACGAATTTATCTTACCGACTATCTTATAACATGTGGTATTTAGACTAGAGGCATATCAAAGTGATTAAGTCTTCAATATCGTTTTTCCGTTTGTATTAAGAACCTACTTCCATCGGTCTTTACAAAAACAAATGCCAACAATAACAACTTGTTCGCTTTAAATGTGTTTTATGAATTTATTTCAATCGTTCATCATCAATTTCTTCATCTGTTGAAACCTTTAAGATTTTTCCTCAACACCGTGTTGTTTTTATAAAGGGCGTTACACCACTTCTAACCGTGTATTGAAATAAGCCCCGCCTACTAATATAATATGGAATATACACGGTCTCCACGCGGTTGCTTTTAACTAATCATATTCCTAGAAATGTATAGGAGGTAAGATAAATTGTTATAACCTGATATAGACACACCTTGACAATGAATACATATATTTACCTATTTGAGAATGGTTTGCACATTGCTGCTTCCGTTTGGTGACCGTCATCATTTCTGATTATTCTGTCAGTCATTATCTAAAAATATAATTCATAAAATATAAATAGGTATATGAATAATTATATTGCGTTCAATCAAGTAATAAAAGTGGGACTTTCCTCGACAGTTAATTGTGGTTTATAATTTATAATAATCCGAAACGAATTTAATATTTAGAAATATGACCGTGTTTACACCTGTAAATTATTCTATGTACTGATAATTCTGTGCTCCTGGAAAAGTTTATGACATAGAGATAGTAGATGTATAAAAATTATATGACTTTCGTTTTCCTTTTTTTATTTGCTCACCTGCATGTGAGCTTTAACGATCATTTGGCGTCCTTCGTCCTCCGTTTTTCGTCGTCGTCCGTCGTCGTCGTCGTTGGAAACTTTTAAAACATCTTCTCATCTGAAACTCCTGAATCAAATGTTACCAAACTTTACACGAATGTTCCTCGGGAAATCTAGTTTAAAATATAGTATCCGGGCATTTGACCCATGAAGAAAGATTGGTGCTGTTTCTAAAAATAGAAAATATTGGTTAAATGCAGTTTTTGGCTTACATCTCAAAAACAAAAGCAGTTAGAGCAAAACTGTCAGGGTTAAAATGACCAGAAGGTCAATGTCTATCAATTTATGTTTTTTTCAGATAATTGGACACCCCATTTTTGAACCCTTTTATGAGAACTTGCCCTCGAAAGTTGATTTTTACCAAATTTTGCAGAAAAAACTTGATAGATAGAGAGAAACTGCAAACAGCATAATGGTTAGCAAACAAAGACATACAAATAAGTCAACATGACTGAAATCGCAATTAATCCCTTATAGGAGTTATACATGTAACCATTTAGAGATGATTTCTATCCTATTTAATAGAAACCATAATAAAGGGAGATTGTAATTAGCAACAATCTTCATCAACATAAAATCTGCTAAGTCAACATGAATGAAATCGTCAATTATGACCTTACATGAGTTATTCCGCAGGAAAATGGTAAGCAAAAAAAAAAGATCGACAAATTAGCAAATAATCGTCAATTGACCTCTTATATAAATTATTGCCCATGAAAGATGGTTTTACCTATATTTAAAATTGAGAATGGAAATGGGGAATGTGTCAAAGAGACAACAACCCGACCATAGAACAGACAACAGCAGAAGGTCACCAACAGGTCTTCAATGCAGCGAGAAATTCCCGCACCCGGAGGCGTCCTTCAGCTGGCCCCTAAACAAATATATATACTAGTTCAGTGATAATGAACGCCATACTAAACTCCAAATTGTACACAAGAAACTAAAATTAAAAATAATACAAGACTAACAAAGGCTAGACGCTCCTGACTTGGGACAGGCGCAAAAATGCGGCGGGGTTGCATTTTTGCAGAAAACATAATAAATAGTGAGAAATTAATTTTTTTTTAGCAAAGATCTAAAGCAAAATAAGATCTACAAATAAGTCAACATGGTCGAAATTGTAAACTTCCCCTCTATAGGAGTCATTGTCCCTGAATAACATTTTTCCCCCATTAAATATTTTTTGGCAGAAACGTTTGTAAAAAGAAAGCAACAATTCAGGGAAAAAATGTTTCGCAAAGTTGGATTTACAAATAAGTCAACTTGATTGGCCCCTTATAGGAGTACTTGGCCTTGTAAGATGATATTTTTCACCATTTTTGCGATTTTTCAGCACAGTAAAATCTACAAATAAGTTAACACGGCTGAAACTGTCAACCGACCCCTTATTGTTTACATTTCCCCTAAATGATGATTTTATGTTTTTTGTATTTTGTAAAAAACCTCAACAAAAGTAGATTGAGAGAAAATAAAAAGCAAATGAAATCAGTGGAAAAGATCTACAATTTTGTCAACACAGCATAATTTTCATACTTCTGATATGATTTATAGCCTTATTTATCTTCCCTTTATAATTTTGCCAATTATCTCAAAAACTTTAATAAATATGTATTAGCTATCAACAGTAAAACGATCATAAAAAAAAGTCTACAAAATATCACTAAATAAAATTTACAAATAAGAAAACATTAAATGAGTTTAATAAAGGTCAAATAAATATCAAAATGGCATATTTTCACCAGGTGAGCGATTCAGGCTGTTGGGAGCCTCTTTTTTATATATTTGTTGTCCTAAATTGAGGTTTAAAAAATATATGAAAATTAATTAGTACTATTTAGCTCGCTTCAAAGTCAGTAACTATGTTTTTCTTGTTTTAAGATTAGAATGGCTTCAGCAAGTGGAACATTTTGTGGTGTATGTGAAACCCAGCATGTGGTGAGAGAGGCCACATTCTGGTGTTCTGAATGCGATGAAGGGTTATGCTCATCATGCGAAAAACACCATCGAGCTTCCAAAGCCTCAAGAAATCATGAAGTTATTTCAGTGAATAATTATCAAAAAATACCGAACACCATAGCAAATATAAACCAATACTGCTCAGACCATGAGAAAAAATATCAGCTCTACTGTTCCAAACATGAAAAACTCTGTTGTCCGCTTTGCATTACGAGAAATCACAAAACATGTGATTTGATGGCAATTGATGATATTGTTAAAACGTCGAAAACTTCCGCATTATTTGACATTATGGAACAAAGTTTAAAAGATATGAAGAGCAACATGAAAAAAATAGTTGAAGACAGAAAGCAGAATTTGGAGAAAATTCAGCAACAGCGACAGAGATTCCAGACAGATATAAAAGAGATACGAGAGAAAATAAACAAACACCTAGATAAACTTGAAAAAAAAATACAACAGGATATCCAAGTAGCGACACAGAAAGTCCAATCACAAATAGAAAAACTACATTCTAAAATTTCCGACAATGGAAAATCACTAGATGAGCTGTCGAAGAATATTTTTGCGACGAAAAGTTTTGCAACTGACCTTCAAACTTTTTTTGGTGGTAAAATGTTTGAGGCCGAGATCCAAAAGGAAGAGAAGTTTATGCAGTCTTTAATAGAAGATGGAAGCTTACAACAAATAAACCTACAATGCAAACTTGATGACAAGATGTCTGATATACTCTCCATGACAAAGATTGGAGATATATCCATTATAACAAATTCACCAACCATTACCTTGACCATTGATAGAGACAAACAAGCTCAACACATGGTACCAACGATATCAAAAACAATGAATGACATCAATCCTACCTTATTGAAAAAATTTGAGATACCGAAAGGGGAAATAGGTATTGGAATCACGGGCTGTACCATCATGCCTTCTAGAAAAATAGTTTTCGTAGATCGATCAAATGATCGTCTTGTAATCCATAACGAAAATGGACTATTTGATTATGAAATATCTGTATCGCGTTTACCTTTTGATGTTGCATGTGTTGAGGAAAACGTCGTCGCTGTCACCCATAATGCAGAGCCCTATCATATAGAAATCATTGACATAAGAAATAAAAAGATTTTAAATAAGATTAAAACAAACAATCAGTGCTACGGCATTACAAATAACAAAGGAAGATTAATATATTATGAAAAACGGAGAGGTATTCAGACAGCAGAAGCCATTAATGAAAGTACTGTCACCACATTAGTAAAATTCGATGATGTGTTTAATTACTGCTATGTTACAGCATCAAATAACAAAATATACAATTCAAACTATGATTCAGGTACCGTCACATGCTACACAATCACTGGACAAAAGGTTTGGGAATACAAAAATGAATCAATTTTGAAAAGGATTCGAGGAGTAACTGTTGATAACGATTCCAATGTGTACGTGGCCTCGCGTAATTATAACAGTGTCGTAGGAGTTTCACCAGATGGAAAGAATGCCCGTGAATTATTAAAAGAAAACTGGATTGATTGGTCCTATGGTATCCATTTTGATCAAGGGAGAAATATTCTACTAATTACTAACTTAGATGGAATAGCTTCTTTGTATAACATTTAATGATTATATTTGTTTTAGAATTTATCGGCTAAAAATACAAAAATCTAACAGTTTGAAACAGTCAGTAGACTTTTTAACAAAATTATATATGTAAATAATGTAAACATATTATTGAAATTACTAATAAAAGAAGCATATTTTACATTAATTAAATTTGTGGTAGGGTTAATTTCCCCAGAATCCCCTCCTTCAATGTTTACAAAATTCACAATCTCATAGCTAAATGTATGTATTTTGAAGTTCGAACAATATTTTGGATTATTTCCAAAAAGATGACCAAGACTATTTAGTAATAAACGTATGAAGAAGCCACAAACCGCATTTTTGAGAAATATTGGCAATTTGTAAGTATTTATGAAAAAAGAAAGTCGATTTAATAACCAAAACCATAATTCTGTTGAAATTAAGTCTAAATATTATCTTTCGGATATAAATCATTTCATTTTGGTGAAGAGCTCGAGACATCTCGTTTTCAATCTAAATTTTACAAAAACATGAAAATTTGCTATGCTGTATCAAAATGCTTTCAACAGCAACATGAAGCGCCAAATAACTTTTTGATTTTGGAAATATGTGAAATAGTTGATAAATGTTTTAAGTACATGACATATACTCTAAAATTCTAACAGGATCCGACAACTTTAAAATTTTAACCGCCTGGGATTAAATCAAATACAAGGCTTGTTACTGACTTTATGCTTTGTCATCAGTGTATGTGGTAATGTTAAAAAGACTTTAAACTGATATTATGCTATTATGCATATAGGTGATGATAAGTTTATGGTGAGCCGAGATCAAACAGATTCGGTAAATTTCTATAACATTATTCCCATTGAAAAGAAGTTCTTTGGTATTTGACTAAATTCATAATATAACAGTTTTCCCTGTAATTTCGTGGTTTCGAAAACATATCATATTTCTGATATTTTATAAGATTATAATTTATATGCGAAATGGCAAATACTAAGAAAGGAAAAATTTTGGCAAACAAAATTCTTTTAGAACATTATTAAAAGTTTAACATATCGTTACTCTGTGAATGAAACAAAAACACAGGAAATAAGCAGTTTAAATCTATATTTTTGAGTACGGCCTAGGTGGCCGACCAGTCTAAGTAGTGGTCTACATGGTCATTAGCCTGTTAGTACACCACTCGCGACAAGTGCGTTCGATCTTTATTGACTAGGATTGCCTACTGAAGGTTGAGGACAGCCATGTTATAGCCAAGAATGCTGAAAGTGGGAAAGTTTGAGACATGGAGCAGGTAGATGTATAAAATTTATATAACTTTTGTGTTTCTTTCTCTATTAGTTCATCTGCATGTGAGCTCGGCGTATGTAGTCCATCGTCTGTCGTGTCGATCGTCTACCTTTGTTTGTTATCGTCGTTGTCCGTCGTCGTCGTCGTCGTCGGGAACACAAAAAAATCTTCTTCTCTGAAACTGCTGGGCCAAATGTAACTAAACTTTACATGAATGTTCCGCAAGAAATCTAGTTTAAAAAAATTGTATCCGATCATTTGATCCATGAACAAAGATGGGTGCTGTTAATAGAAACAGAAAATTGTGGATACAATGAATGTTTTGGCTTATATCTCAAAAAACTAAAGCAGTTACAACAAAACGAGTAAAAATTAGCAGAAGGTCAAGATTTATTTCTTATTGAATTTATAGAAAATCGGACAACTTATTTTTTAACCCTTAAGAAGTAATTGCCCTTATAAGATGATTTTTACCAATTGTTGCAGAAACCATGAGAGATAGAAAGAAACTACAAACAGCAAAATGGTAAAACAAAGATCTACAAATGAGTCAATATGACTAAAATCGCAATTGATCCCTTATAGTAATTATTGCCACCAACAGATGATTTTATCCAATTTAGCAGAATCTTTAAAAAGAGAGAAACTGTAAATAGCAACAATGTTCAACAAAATAGGATGTACTTATAAGTAAACATAAATGCATTCGTCAGTGAACTCTTATAGGAGTTAAAGCCCTGGATATAAGACTTTTACGAATTTTGGCAGAAACCATTAAAGATACAGAGAAACTGTGAATATAAAAAATGGTAATCACAAACAGATATAAATATTAGTCACCATGGCCAAAATCGTCAATTGGCCTTATTATTGGAATTATTGCCCTTCGAAGATGGTTTTTACTCAAATGTATGTTTTTTTGCAGAAACCCGAATAAATCAGAGAAATTGTAAAATAGCAAAGACGTTAAGCATAATAAGATCTATAAATAAGTCAACATGACTTACATTGTAAACTGACTTCCTATTGGAGTTATTGTCTCTAGATGACTTTTTTTTTATCATTTAAATACTTGTTAGTCTGAAACGCTCAAAATAGAATGCAACAATTTATGGAAAACATGTCCAGCAAAATGAGACCTACAAGTAAGTCAACCTGGTCGAAATCAATAATTGAACCCTTAGAGGAGTAATTGGCATTGTGAGATGATTTTCTCCCATTTTTACGTTTTGTGCAAAAACTATACTATATATATTACAATAGAGAAAGAATAAATGACAAAATTGTTCAGCAAAATAATATCTTCAAATAAGTTCACACGCCTGAAACTGTCATCGACAACCTAATAGGTGTTATTTCCCTCAAAACTAAGGTAGATTGAGAGAAACTTTGAAGCAGAAGAAAACAGCAAGAAAAGATCTACAGTTAGTCAACATGGCCTAATTGTCAGACTCCTAATTTGATTTATTGCCCTAAAATGAGAATTTTTTACTTTTAGAATTTTGCCAATTATCTCAAAAGCTTTAATAGATCTGTATAAACTATGAACACAGTCCGATGAGCATTATTACACATACTTTAGTTGATACATGTTCTACAAAAATATCATAATATTTACATATAAGCAAACATATCGAATTGCAATAAGGTTAAAAATGAATATAAAAATGGTGGCATAGGTTTACCATATAAGCTATTCAGGTTCTTGGGAGCCTCTTGTTTAAATATTTCTGTCCTAAAGTGAAGTATACAAAATAAAAATGAAAATGAATGTGGAGTACTCTTTAGCGCGTTTCCACGTCGGTAGAAATATTTTGAATTTTGTTTTCAGATTAGAATGGCTCCAGCCAGTGGAACATTTTATGGTGTGTGTGAAACCTAGCATATGGCGAGAGAGTCCACCTTCTGGTGTCCTGAATGCGACAAATTACTATGCTCATCATGCAAAAATCACCACTTAGATTCCAGGGACACAAAACATCATAAGTTACTTCAGTAAATAATTATAAATACCACCCACAATAGCAAGTATAAACCAATAAATACTGTTCAGACCATGAGAAAATTTATCAGCACTACTGTTCCCAACATGAAAAACTTTGTTGTCCGCTTTGCATTACGACAAATCACAAGAAGTGTGATTTGTTAACAATTGACGAAATTGTCAAAACGTCAAAGACTTACGCATTATTTGACATTATGGAACAAAGTTTAAAAATATGGATTAAACTGGTTTTATAGCTAGCTAAACCTCTCACTTGTATGACAGTCGCATAAAATTACATTATATTGACAACGATGTGTCGATACAACATCTATTTAACATCTAATTGTAAAACGTTGTGGAACTTGGAAATTGCAATATGTTGGCGAAACAGAAGCTAAATTCAACATCAGACTGAATAATCACGGTCATTTTATACCAAAGGAAGAAACTGCCCAATCACGAAACACCTCTTAAGAACAGGACATACTTTTGAAAATATCACTTTTCAAATAATAGAGGTAAACCAAAATTGGGAAACCCAAAGTAGAAAATAGAGAGAGAGATTTTAAATGAATCAGCTACGTACTCTTGAACCTGATGGACTGAATGAGAGAGATGAAAAACAGTTTTATGCAAAACCGAAGGAATAAATCCTTAGCTTCATATTATTTAAATAACACAATTATGTTTGATCTAAGATTGCAAAGTACAATAAGCTGCTAAAATATATTAAAGACATGTACATTAAGCTGCAAAAAATTCTTTACAGCATCCGATTTTTTACCTGGATGGCGGCACGCGCCTGATGAAGCTAATTTATTTAGCGAAATATTGCGTGAATATATAAAATATAACAACTATTTTTATAACACTCATTCGTGTGTTAAAATTACATTCTTAGTCTATTTGTTTTACTTTTGTTTTCGTTGTTGTTTAAACTGTTAAATGATTTTATTCATTAAGTAAATTACGGAAGAAAGTATAAAATATTTTTTAAACATTATTAAAAAAATGTTTCTTTATACGAATATTTGCAGCGAATGATATAAAAGTTAAATGACAAGTATGTCACTATGTGTTTTCAGATTATTACAGATTTCAATAGTTAATTCGGTTTAAACAAGATAGAACATCTTATTCTGATTAGAATTCGCAATTTAATGCCTCATAAACACTTCTCAGTCCAACATGGTAATTGTTACTTGAAAAAGAAATATATATATATTCATTATTTTTGGGATTCGGAGTTGAGTTTCGAAGCTGCAGTTGATGAATCTTTTAACGCTAAGATTGAAAGAAAAACTCCAACATGAAAACCCCAATCATAAATATGCCATGATTTAGAAAATCATGTTCATATCGATAATGGTTAAGAGGTGGATCTTAGTATGTGTTGCTAATGCATAGCAATATGAAAACAGAAGAGGTGGGGTATAAGATAATGAAATTGCAACCAACCAAAAAAAAAAATGACCAAAAGTAATCTACACTACCAAGAATTTGTCCACGTTTTTTGATACATTTCTACCCTCTTACATATCAGTACTGTTCGGCATGACTAAAAAATTATAATGTTATACTTTCTAATAATTCAGTACTGTTTATTATTATACAATAACTGTACAGTAACGAACTCTTTAAATTCAGTACTGATTTTTTTAGTACTGTTTCAGTACTGATTTCGTTAGTAATGTTTCAGTACTGATTTTGTCTGTACTGTTAGTGTACCGATTTTATTAGTACTGTATTTGTACTGATTTTTTCATTGACTGTTTTAGTAAATACTTACTTTTTAGTGCGCACCTTATCCATATCAAAAATAGTTGTTTCTTTAGGTATAGCTGTAGCAGTTAATTTGGTGTGGTTTATTTTTTTTAATTTGAATGCATATTGTT